TGGTCTGCATCAAAGAGGAAAGAAGAAGAAAGGGTTAAAGCCTCTAATGGCTAGTTTCTTGTTTAAATGAATGTGTGAGTGTGTGAGTGACAAGTGTACACTCTAGATTAGATCATTTAAAACCCAAATGAAGGGCTAGGATTTAATATGGGATAGAAAAGTTAAAATGGTTGTTAAGCCTCTTGTCAATCACCTTTTTACACAAGTATGGGTCATGGCAATGCACCATACCCTACTACATTTTCCCTTACTTAATGAAATCTAAGCTACTGCATTTTACACAACCAATCAAGCAGTCAATCACATCTCCAAGTCATCTCCATTCTCTGCTAAGAAATCGATTCAGACTATAACCAAAATCATCCAAACAAACAAACAAACTTTATCATGGCCTCGGAGCTCAATTTCTTATCTTACAACTTTTTGGGCGTAATTTGTGCAAGTTGAGATCTTTAGGAGCACCTACGTAGTGTCCTCAACAACAACAACCAACAAACAACCCTACAAATGAAGGGATCAAGCAGTAGCGATGAGCTAAAAACTCCAGTCTTTGATGGGGAGAACTATGATTTTTGGAGAATAAAAATGACAACCATTTTCAAGTCCTATGATATATGGGATATAGTTCAACACGGGTATGAACTACCTGAGATGGAGGTCGATGCTCTAGAGGAGGACCTCACAGAAACACAGCTCAAAACACTGAAGCAGAACTGGATAGAGGATGCTAGAGCACTTGGATCATCCAAGGTGCTGTCTCAGACACCATTTTCCAGAGGATAGCAAACGAAGAAACTGCAAAGGGAGCTTGGGAAGTTTTACAGCAAGAGTAAAAAGGAGACACCAAAGTCAGAAAGGTAAAACTTCAATCCCTTAGGAGAGATTTCGAGTATACAAGAATGAGGGAAAATGAGCTGTTGAAAGATTACGTTACTAGGCTATTTGATGTTGTAAATAAGATGAAAACACATGGTGAGGAACTACCAAATGAGAGAGTTGTCCAGAAACTGTTGATCAGTTTGACTAAGCCCTATGATTCAATAGTGAGTGTTATTGAAGAAGCCAAAGACATTGAAACTCTTAGTGTGCAAGATGTGGTGGCATCCTTAAGAGCTTTTGACCAAAGGCTCGAGAGGCATGCATATTTTACCACTAAGAAAGCATTTCAATCACTCTTTATTGGATCTAGTAGTCAAGCCAATGCAAGCAAACATAAACCATAGTGGAAGGGCAAGAACAAGAAATGGGAAGGAAAGGGGTATCAAACTCTAGACCTAACTAAGGTAGCAACTCAAATGAAGGTCCAAGAACCAAACAACAATTCAAGCACTGTGACAAATTTCATCTTGGGGAGTGTTAGTTCAAGGACAAACCTAAATGTCAAAAATGTAACAAGTTCGGGCACATCATGAGGGATTGCAGATCAAAGAATGTGCAGCAAGTGAACTGTACAAATCAAGTGGAAGAAGAAGCAAATGTGTTATGTGCTTTCAGTACAAAAATGGAGAAAAACAATGAAGTATAGTACATTGACAGTGGCTGCAGCAACCATATGACTGTACATGAGTCATTACTCATTGACCTTGACACAAACCTCACTGGAAAAGTGAAAATGGGAGATGGAAACATTGTTAAAGCCACTGGAAGAGGAACTCTGGTCATTAACACCAAGAAAGGAAGAAGATGCATAAGGGAAGTGATGTTAGTGCTTGGATTGGATGAAAATCTACTTAGCATGGGTCAAATGATGAAGCATTTCATACTCTTTGGGGGAACTGTGGTCGAGATCTATGATGACAGGTCCCTATCAAATCTAGTGACTAGAGTGAAAGTGAAAAACAGAAGCTTTCCACTTATGTTGAATTACCTAGAGGAAGTGGTAAGGAAAACAAGTGTGACAGGTTCTATGAAGCTATGACATAAGAGGCTTGGTCACTTAAACATGACAAGTCTAGAAAATCTGCAAAAGCATGAAATAGTGCAAAGGATACCAAATATGGATCAATGCAGTGAAACCTGTGAAGGGTGTATGTTTGGAAAACATCACAGAGATCTATTTGAAGCTGGAAAAGCTTGGAGGGCAACAAAGCCACTTGAATTGATTCAAACGGATGTGTGTGGACCAATGCAAACAACAACAGTAAGTGGAAATAGGTATTTCCTAATCTTCATTGATGACTACTCACGGATATGTTGGGTGTATTTCATGAGGTTTAAGTCTGAGGTATTCACAATATTCAAAAAGTTCAAGGCAATAGTGGAATTGCAAAATGGATACCAAATCAAAAGATTGAGAAGTGATAGGGGATGTGAGTACAGCTCACATGAGTTCAATGTATTTTGTGAAGATGTGGGATTGGAGAAGCAACTCACAGTGGCATATTCACCACAACAGAATGGGATTGCAGAAAGGAAGTATGCTGAAACCTTACTTGAAAGGTTTGGTTTGAAGGGTTGCAAACCAGTCTTTACACCCCTAATTGCAAATGAGAAGTTTAAGAAGGATGATGGAGGTGAACATGCAGATGCTAGTCTCTACAAAATCATTGTTGGCAGTCTATTGTACCTAACAGCAACAAGGCCGGATCTAATGTTCTCAACAAGCCTACTTTCTAGGTTTATGCATAATCCTAGCAAGATACACATGGGGACAACAAAGAGAGTTCTAAGATATGTGCAAGGAACACTTGATTATGGCATCAAGTATGAAATAGGGAAGTCAACTATCCTAATTGGATTTTGTGACAGTGACTGGGGTGACAGTGAATATGATAGCAGAAGCACATTGAGCTATGCTTTCACCTTTGGTTGAGGGGTTTTCTTGTGGGCCTCGGTGAAGCAACAAAGTGTTGCACTGTCCACAGCCGAGGCAGAGTATGTGAGTGCATCAGAAGCTACAGCTCAAGCTATTTGGCTAAGGTTCATACTTTAAAACTTCGGGGAGCTGCAGGTTGATGCCACACCACTACTGTGTGACAACACCTCTGCAATCGCCATGACCAAAAATCCAGTATTTCATCAGAGAAGCATTACAGGACAACATAATCAAATTAATCTATTGCAGCACAAAAGATTAGATCGCAGACATTTTCACAAAAGCATTATCGAAGGAGAGATTCAATTAACTGAGGGGATTGTTTGGAATGACTCCCAGAAGCAGTTTAGAAGGGAGTGTTGGAAGCTAAACAGCTTCTGAAGTCGAAGGATCAAAGGTAGCAAGGAGCTCCCAAGCATGGTTTCGGTCTGCATCAAAGAGGAAAGAAGAAGAAAGGGTTAAAGCCTCCAACGGATAGTTTTTTGTTTAAATGAATGTGTGAGTGACAAGTGTACACTCCATATTGATCATTTAAATCCAAATGAAGGGCTAGGATTCAATTTGGGGTAGTAAAGTTAAAATGGTTGTTAAGTCTCTTGTCAATCACCTTTTTACACAAGTATGGGTCATGGCAATGCACCATACCTTACTACATTTTCCCTTACTTAATGAAATTTGAGCTGCTGCATTTTACACGGCCAATCAAGCAGTCAATCACATCTCCAAGTCCTCTCCATTCTCTGCTAAGAAACCGATTCAAACTATAACCAAAATCATCCAAACAAACAAACTTTATCATAAGGTTTCTGTATCCTCCTTAACACTCGACAGGTTTCCTTTTATTTTAGGGTTTTCGAGTTTTCATAAATTTAGGGGTTCTGAATTCTGATCCGGTTTGAAGGCCTTCCAACTTCTTCTAGATTAAAAATAAGAAATCTACAATCTGCTGATGTATCAAATTCAGTTACCATATTAAGATTTTGCTAGTTTAGTACTTTTTTATAGCCATTTATATTAAATGTTTAAGCATGCGTAGAGCCCTGGGCTATATATTAATGCTCTTTTTTGGTCAATGGAGTAGAAAAAGGCCATAGTAGGTTGAGGGTGCAAGCTTCTTTTCCGCAAGACATTTATTGTTGAACATGACCTTCCAGTTAAACCATCAGAACCTATATCTAGTCCCATTGCCTTGTAACTGGCGAAATCGTTGTTGCAGTGGCGGCTTTACTAGCTAACGTTCGAGAGAAGTACACAAAAGTTGTCTTAAGGTTCGTGTCAGTGAGTGTTTGCAAGAAGCGTTCGTGATTGCAAGCTATCCTACAACGATTTTTTTCGCTAGGTAAGTACCAACACAGGTTAATGTCGAGAAGAAGCATCAATCAAGGTATAAAATATCGATGATATCGGAAATATTGATAATCTAAAAACACGAAAATTTCGATGAAAATATCGGGATATTATCGATATTGATAAAAATTGAATAAAAACCTTAGAAATTGTAAGAAAAACTTGGAAATTTTTATTGAAACTTTGCAAGATGTTTATTTAGTCAATTATCTATTAGTTTATTACAAAAAAATTGGAAGGAAATGTATTGCATGATAGATATAACTGATTTAAGCTGATTATATAGCGAGCTGACAAACATTGTGAGTGTAAAAAAGATGTAGTAATTAATGAAAGAAGTTTAAACATACCATAATCATTTATATATAATGAATTAGTACAATATTTTACACTTTATACATTGCATGGTAAGATACATGAGTGACTGCAAGGTCTAAAATATCGATGATATCGGAAATATCGGTAATCCAAAAATACGGAAATTTCGATGGAAATATCGGGATATTATGGATATTTTAGACCATGACATCAATATAAAGGGTAAAATGAATAGTAACATGATTGACTTTTTAGTGTAAAAATGTGGTTTTTCGTTAAAGTAAATCGTACGGGGAGCTTTTGGTTAAAGTTCCCTTTTTAAAATACGATATAAAAACTTTTCAAAAACTAAAAAGAAACAGTTATAAACAATATTGAAGAACAGTGCTATTATTTAAAAGATCATTACAAAGTTGCTAGCTAAGCAATCAATAGAATGCGTTTAACTAGCCATGTTATCATACATCATAGACTCATTATTGTTTAACTTTGTACGAGATAAATTATTAATCTCGTTGAATTATTTCAATTTTCCGTGGTTGAAGATCGCAAGTTCATCACCTCGAACAATGGCTACGGCCTGTGAAAAATTCCACAAATTATGCACTAGCAGTGTATAGAAATAGAACAGCATTTGATAATAAAATTAGGACAGCATTTGATTCAGTTAATTAAGAAGACACCTAATTACCTCACTTATAGTAAGTTTGTGATCTGAATCAACTTTTAGGCAGCGCAATGCTGCGTGAGCCATATTCCGGACCATCCTAGCATCACCAGCAATTTCCCTAAGTCTGGAGTCCTTCAGTTTGCCAAACTCACCATTTTCTAGAAGTGACAGTGCCTGTTGTGAAAAATCATTCGTCAGGCTTGCAAATTTCCACGTCATAACCAAAAGAAAAAGACTATCGTTTTTCTTAACGGTTAAATCTACGTCCTTTCTGCCACTTAGTACTATGCTCCAGTGGTATTCCTTTTCACTTGTAAGTGAGAAGTCTTAGGTTCAATTCTCGCCAAAGACGAGTTTGAATCATATTATTGCTAGCCCATTGTGAGGCTAAGCCCACCTCCTTCCTCTTAATAGTAATAATATCGTTTGTTAAAAAAAAAAAAAAAATCTACATCCTTGCCAATTAATAGCCTGCTTCAGAGTTTACTGTCAAATGAGAAACATGTTACAGAATACAGTTCTGAAGATGCAATTCCAGTTAAAAGAAGCAATTGTACTTGAAGTTTTCCAGTCACATTTGAGCTAGAATCACCGGATTTTGGTTGGACATACGAGAGATCTTACCCGTTCAATCATGGACTGGTCCTTCCCTTGGTCGTGAACAGGACTTACACACTTTCCAGTAATAAGCTCCAGTAGGAATTTCCCATAATCATGTACGTCGCCAAAATGGAGCTTGTCGTATCTAATTTAAAGTATCAATCAGCAGTATATAAGAATATGGTTTAAAACATGTTCTTTACAATTATTTCCTATTAAATTAAATGCTTATGCAAGATATATATAAGAGAATTACGAAGTTCTCTTACTTGGATATCAAATCTTTAGTTGGGGGAATGTCACCCTTAAGCCACTCAGCATATGCGAAGTTGCAGAGCTTGAAGAACATCAGTCAAAACCAAGTATTCAGGTATAGGCAATAAGTCGAAGAGCATGATGAGTAAGAAACTCAGTTGTGTGCTAGACTACTCATCCAATTTTGTAATTATTGCAAAACCATATTTAAGAGATCAACAAAGTTGAATTCGTTGTAAAAAGTCTATCGAACTTCCATTTTTTCTTTTGTTATATTGGCTCATAACTTTTGACCATGTTTCTGTTCCCTTATGCATATGAAGTATCAGGATGTACTTACCATTGCGGAGTAACCATGAGAAAGAGCAACGCTGGAAGCACAAACATTTTTGTGAACAATAGGTCCATCAACACACTCCTCATGGAGATAGCGCAAGCTTCCACCTATTTCTAGAGCGATAGACCACCTCATTCTCCAATCCAGTTTCTCGGCCAACTCATCCCCTACAAACTAATAGAGCTCAGTTTGAATTCTATTCTGTGCAAGAACAAAACTGAAAACAATGTAGTCTGTTTTGGAAGTCCGAAACAAAAAAGAAAAAAAGAAAAAAAAGAAGAACATCATGCAGCTCATAATAGAAGGGATATCGATTTACCAATCAACTATGATAAGATGAATAATCGGTAAGGAATACATGTGTGCGCATGTGCGTGTGTTTTGAGTTCATTGACGTCAAAACTAGCTACTAAAGTTCTTGTAAACCAAGACTTTTGAAAAATAGGATGCATCAGTTAGAGAAGTAGTCGTTCTTACATTGCAAGTTTATTCCAACGGTACCCAAACAAGGTAAGTCGAAAAGCAAGAATGCAGAAGTGCCTGTGCTGCAGTACCCAACAAGATTCAAGATGTTGCGGTGGCACACCCGGGATAGGATCTCTAGGACTGACCAGAAGCCTTTGTTTGTTGTCTTTAAAGACTTTACTAAAACAGGGGTTTCTTGTAATATTCCCTGATGAACTGTTATGCCATTCACAACTGCTAAAATGTTATCATCAGCAAAGCCATTGGTTATCACTTCAAGTTCATTGTAAGAAAACACTCGAGGAAAACCATTTCTCCAAGATAGAGGATAGCAACAAGGATTCTGAGGATATGGCGCGGGTGCAGATTTATTTCTCAACTCGCAAGCATTGAAATCTTTACTATTCTCTTCCCCAAGATGCTCTTCGGGATCTGCTGAATCATAATTTGGCTTGATCGGACAAATCTCAGCAAGCTGTGTATCATTCGATAGCATCAAGCTAGCAAAATATTTTTCCTTTACCACTGCAACATTGCACGTCACATGTCCACGTAGAAAAACTTTCCATTTCTTAAAGTGACTGACAACCGAACACAAAAAAAGTTAAAAGAAAAATAGAGGGAGAAGAGAAGAATACCGGGGTACTATAGAGAATCCTATGGCATACCCGTCTAATACGATCCAACGTGTATTGAGGTTATGTGATTCCTTAATTGTCAGTCTCGCCGGACAAAACCCGGCTGCAAGTTTAAGCACCAACCTCACCTGCATATATATATATATATATATATATATATTACACCACAGTTTTTTAGCATGGTAACACATATTCATAACACTTGCCAAAACTGAAATATAAAAAGATAAATAATAAGAAAAAACAGCTACCCCATTCTTCGAGCACTGACGATATAAAGGCTGGAAGCTACTCTGGTATTGTCCTCTTTTTCGCTCGAATTCTTCTCCAAGCTCGACAGGATCCACTTCCTCGTGGTCAACGGATTCTATTCTCTCCCCTGCGGAACATAAACTGGTATATATTAGGCATATATATAGTAGTAAGAAGCAAAGAAACCAACACGTATATTAGATATATATATATATATACACACACACACACACGAAGCAGATATACACGAAGCACACCTCGGCGTCGCCAAGTTTCAAATCCCCCCACTGTAATTGTGATTAGATTAATTAAAATATCTGTCGAGAAAAAAGAAACTTACGTATTCCAGAGATGCCGAAACCCATGAGCAACTTAAACGGAAAGCAAGAGTTCTTCTTGACATGGTGATCAATAGTGAAAACTCCTAAAACAAGGAAGATGTCACCAGGTTTAACGACATGCTTGAGAGCCCATTCCACGGCTTCCATGCTTCCTTTAGTCCTATTTGCATCGACAGCCACTATCACGGCCTCTCTTTGGGATGACTGCAACTGCAAACCAGTCATCTCCCTTTCTCTTTTCATTGTGTTTAGCTACTGTTTAGGGAGAGCTTTTGCTTGTGATCAGCAGAGGGGGTTTTAGTGTTGCTCTAAATCTGTTTATCGTCTGATATATATGGGGTTTGTTTGCCGGACTTGGATGATTTCGTCATTGACAAGAAGACCAAGCCGACCAAGGAAATGGTTGACGTCAGTTATTCGTTAGTTATTATCGTTGGCAATGATGAGGCTATCAGCATCAGCTTCTAAATTTTTTTCATTTTTGAAAGAAAGGAATATTTTTCTTGGCCTTAACTATTTTCTTCTTGTAATAATGCTGGCTGGCTCTCTTTGTTTTTTCTTGAATCTGGATCCTTGTCGGATCTTTGTCGGATCCTTTTTGTGAGGATCTCAGGGTCCATGAATCGTATTCGTTTATCGTACATCGTGCGACTATAAATTATTTAAAATTAAACAAAAACATATATGAGAAAAATTGATCGCATGATGTATAATAAACTGATACGATTTACTAATATTCAGAATCCTCACCAAAAGTGTCCGGAGAGGATCTGTTGGTTTTTTCTTTTCATGAGTTCTGTTTGGAACTTATCTCACTGCTTGCTCGTAAAGTGTGTATAATACACCCTCAATTCATTACAAATACAATACTGTTTAGTACATATAAAAAATCACCTCCCAATGATAACATGACACCATACTGATAAAGGTTGTCTAGAAAGTTTCCATCTAAAACATTAATTAAAGGATAATGATAGGAAAACGAAATTTATAGACAAGATTTTGAAAATTAAAGAATATGAAAGTAGATAATTGGTTTAGTACTTAAGCGTTGATAAACGTGCTAATTTTTATTGGTAACACATCATTTAATTTTTAAACTTAATCTCTAAATTTGGTTTTCCTAAACTTAATAACCTTAAAACTAAACAATAATGCGTTTGTATATTTTTTTTTGGTAATGCTAGGGATACCAAATTTTTAAACCAAATTTGTAAACCAAATGATATGGTTATTGATAATTGAGTTATTTCTCAAGTGATGATTAACGTGCTTATTTCTTATTGGTGACATATCATTTGGTTTGCAAATCTGGTTTAAAAGTTTAGTCTCTCTATTTTTTTTTTTTTTTTTTTTTTTTTTTTAAATTTTTTGTAGAGACGGATTAGGCGAGATTAGCTCTTCGTCAACAGTCGCGTGCGAGGTACCAACCCTCTCCCAAAGGAGAAAGGACCGTTGCACCCAGAAACCCCCCGCCCATCCCCCCTCTACAAGAATTTATTAATAATAAGAAGAAAAAAGGAAAAGTAGAACAAACGGGGGGACTAGGCCAAAACCCGCTAAAAACAATTATTGAAAATGATATGGACTAGTTTAAGGGTGTTTAGCTTCAGTCACCTAAAATTGAATTTGGAGACTAAATTTGGAGACTAAATTTGCAAATTAAATGATATGTTATCAATGAGAATAAACACGTTTATCAATGTTTAAATAATAAACTAATTATCAACTTCTATGTCCTTTAGTTTTCAAAACTTTATCTACAAATTTAATCTCTTTAGCATTATTTTTTTTTTCGATCTACCATAGTAATTGTCATCATCTCTCTACCGCCCAAAACTTGAGAGAGCCTCCATCTCGCCCGTTTCTTCATCGGGAAAAATCCGTCCGCAACTCTCTCCACTGCTCTGTCCTCCACTAGCTCACCACTCTGTAATCTGTGTGTTAGTTCCTCAAATATACCCAGAAGGGACCCGAACGCACTCCGCCGGCCTCTGCAACCTCCCTCTTGCACCAGTCACCAAACCTAACAGACTCAAAGGAATACCTTGTTTTCCATCCTTTCAGTTTGATATAAGTTAACTAATTAGTTTTAGTTTGACAAAAAAAAAAAAAAGTTTTAGGGTTTCTGTATCTTTCTCAAAATTCGATGGGTTTCCTTTTATTTTAGGGTTTTTGAGTTTCTTAAGTTTAGGTGGTCTCATGGACGGAGCCAATGAAGGCTCATTGGGGGTAGCTGCCCTCACTCAAGTAATTCGTTTGTTTAGTTACAAACTACAATTATATAATATACACGAGTTATCTTTAAAGAAAATATATGTATCTAATATCCAACATATATTCATTCTACTTATACTTCATATCAAATATTATATGAGCAATAGTGCTCTTGTTCTGTCATTCAAACCGAAAAAACCCTGTTCCCGCCTATCATGTACTTATAATTTTTCTCATCACTTTGCCACTTTCCACTACTATATTGAAATTTTTATAACATTGGAATTGTGATACATCATCATTTGAAATTATCTTTAATATCATATTGCGTATAACCATTTTATAATAAGGTTTTCTTAGTTGTTTTCGGTTGCCCTCACTAGAAGAAATTTCTGGCTCCGTTCCTGGATGGTTTGATCTCGTTTGAAGGCCTTTCAACTTCTCCTAGATTAAAAATAAGAAATCTACAATCTGCCGATGAATCAAATTCAGTTATTAATATTTTGCTAGTTTAGTACTTATTTAGCCATTTCTATTAATTAAATGTTTAAGCATGTGTACAGCCCTGGGCTATATATTGATGCTCTTTTATTTTGTCAGTAGAGTAGAAACAAGGCCATAGTAGTTTGAGGGTGCAAGCATTTTCGTTTTTGTAAGACATTTATGGTTGAACATGACCTGCTAGTTAAACCATCAGAACCAATCTCTAGTCCCATTGCCTTGTAATAACTGGCGAAATTGTTGTTGGAGGGGTGACTGTAGTAGCCAACATTCAGAGAAGTACACAAAAGTTGCCTTAAGGTTCGTGTTGGTTCGTGTTGGTGAGTGTTTGCGAGAAGCATTCGTGATTGGAAGCTAGATGATCCAACACCGAATTTTTCGCTAGGTAAGTACCAACACAGGTTAATGTCGAGGACAAGCTTTTTTTTTTTTTTTTTTTTAAATTAACAGATAGAAATTTTCGAAAACTAAAAAGAAACAGTTAAAAACAAATATTGAAGAACAGTGCCATTATTCAAAAGATCATTACAAGTTGCTAGCTAAGCAATTAGTAGAATGCGTTTAACTAGCCATGTTATCATACATCATAGACACATTGTTTAACTTTGTACAAGACAAATTCTTAACTCGTCGACTAATTTCATTTTTCAGTGGTTGGAAATCGCAAGTTCATCACCTCGAACAATGGCTATGGCCTGTGAATAAAACACAAATTCTGCATTAGCAGTGTATAGAAATGGAAATGCATTTGATAATAAAATTAGAACAGCATTTGATTCAGTTAATTAAGAAAACACTAAATTACCTCACTTATAGACAGTTTGTGATCTGAATCAACTTTTAGGCAGCGCAGCGCAGCGTGAGACATATGCCGGACCATCCTAGCATCACCAGCAGTTTCCTTCAATCTGCAATCCATCAGTTTACGTAACTCACTATTTTCTAGAAGTGGCAGTGCCTGTTGTGAAAAATCATTCATCAGGCTGCAAATTTCTACTTGATAACCAAAAGAAAAGGACTTAACGGTTTTCTTAACGATTAAATCCACGTCCTTGCCAATTAGTAGCCTGCTTCAGAGTTTTTTGTCAAATGAGAAACATGTTACAGGATACAGTTTTGAAGATGCAATTCCAGTTAAAAGAAGAAATTGTCCTTGAAGTTTTCCAGTCACATTTGAGCCAGAATCACTGGCTTTAGGTTGGACATATGAGAGATCTTACCCATTCAATCATGGGGTCCTTCCCTTGGTCGTGAACGGGCCTTACACACTTTCCAGTAATAAGCTCCAGTAGGAATTTCCCATAATCATATACGTCGCCAAAATGGCTCTCGTCGTATCTAATTTAAATTTTCAATCAGCAGCTATATGAGAATATGGATTAAAACATTCTTTACATTTCTTTCCTATTAAATTAAATGCTTATGCAGGATATATGTAAGACATAATTACGAAGATCTCTTACTTGAATATCAAATCTTTAGTCGGGGAGAAAATACCATTAAGCCACTCAGCACGTATGAAGTTGCAGAGCTTGAAGAACATCAGTCAAAACCTGGTATTCAGTTATAGGGAATAAGTCGAAGAGCATGACAGTAAGAAACTCAGTTGTGTGCAATACTAACTCATCCAATTTTGTAATTATTGTAAAACCATATTTATGAGATCAACAAAGTTGAATTCGTTGAACAAAGTCTATCGAACTTCCATTTCTTTTTGTTATATTGGCTCATAATTTGACCATTTTTCTGTTCCCATATGCATATGAAGTATCAGGATGTACTTATGTTGAGTTTTGGTTTCAATATTTGTTGTATATTTCATTATGAAGATTACAAGAGAGTGAAGGCAACTCTTAGACTAACTCCAACCCTGGGCTACAAGCCAAAATTTTAGCCCAAATTTTCCCCCAAACACCCCCCAACCCAAGCTAAAATATTGGGCTAAAAGGGGAATGCTGAAGTGGGGCCAAATTCCCCCCTCCCCCCCCCAGCTGCGTGGACTCACCCAGTTTTGGGCCACTCTCGGCCCGTGGACTCGCGCACGCGCCCCACGCCCCCAACTTGCAACCGGAGCCCGACAGGAAGGGGGCCCAGCTTCAGGCCTTGTCGGCCATTCATCCGAGCCCAACGGCTCTTTTCAAAATCAGACGGGCATCATTTAAGGACCGTTGGTTGATCCAACGGTCCATATTCAAACTTTATTTTTAAAAAATATGTTATTTTAAAATACATTGAATCCAACGGTTGAGATTGAATATACTCAAATCTAACGGTAAAAAAAAAATCTAACGGCCCAAATTTAAATCCAACGGCTAAAACAATTAAATAAATTTATTTAACACAAAATTTACCCAAAAACTCTATAAATACCTATGTATTTGTTCAAACATCCACACAAAATTCAATTTTCTCCTACAATTCTTCCAATTTATCTTTCTATCATTTCTTTCCATTTCCAAATTGTTCAACATGGCAAGAGAGCATGTTAGAGGTCGTAATTGGACCTTTGAGGAAGATGTTTCTTTATGCTTGGCATGGGTTTCTGTTAGTGAAGATGGTGCAGTTGGCACAAATCAAAATAAAAAGGTTTTGTGGGATAAAATCATTGCAAAGTTTCAAGAAAACTGCAATGGCAGCGGGCGAGACTGTGGTGGTGTTTATGATCGGTGGAAGACTATCAACAAAGCATGCACTTTATGGAAGGGAAGCTTAGAGAGAGCCATGGTTGGCATGCCTAGTGGAAGGAGCGCCATAGAAATTGTGAGTTTTTTTCTTGATATTTTATTTGTCATGTACATAATATTATTTTGCAACTAATTATTTTTATGTATTTTTTGCATAGGGTGACAAAGCAATGGAAATTTACAAGACAAGAGTAACACCAAAAATTCAAGTTTTTAAGTTGCAACATGCTTGGGACGTCCTCAAGGATTGTCCAAGGTGGGCAACTGATGCAGACCAACAATGGGGAAGATTATTTCAACGTGAAGCCGCACCGAGAAATGAAGGTGGCGATGAAGGTGTCGATGAAATGACCCCATCTCCTTCTTTAGCAAGGCCCCCGGGAAGAGATAAGCAAAAGGAAGCAAAGAGAAAAGGGAAGTCCCAAGATTTGACGAGTGGAGACTTTGCTACCGGAATTGCAAAATTGCACGAAACTCATAGCGCTAGCCAAGAAGAAGCGGCCCGATTGCGTTTGCAAATGAAGGAAATCTCGGATAGGGAGGAAAATAGGTTTGAAATTGAATTCATGATGAAGGACCTCAGCAAATACACTCCAGAGAGGAAGAAGTTCTTACGTAATAAGCAAAAGGAAATTATGCGAAAGTCTGCCTCAAGGAGTATGTTTCAAGATGATGAATCCTCTGAACCCTATATCCCAACATTTCAACGAAGTCCATCACCAAGTGAAGATGGTGGATATGATTGTTAAGTTTATGTAGTGTATGAATTATGTGCTTTATTAATTAAGTTTATTAATTTTCGTTTGTATTAAGTTTATGTTGTTTATTATGTTGTCATTTGTATTAAGTTTATGTTGTTTATTATGTTGTTTATTATGTGGTTTATGTACTTTATTAAATTTATGTCTTATTATTATTGTTTCTATTTAATCTAGATGTCTTCAATAACTATTGTACTTATTATTGTACTTATTATTTCAACCTCCATTCAATAAATTATCCAACGTAGTAGACAAATAACAACATAGTACACTTAAAATTATTACATAAATGCTCAACCAACATCATCAACGTTCACCTTCTCGGCGCCACACATGCTCAACCAAATCCTTGCGGAGTGTGTCATGAATTTGAGGAGCTTGAATTCTATTTAAACGTCTCATATACTCACCCAAGGTGACCCTATCATGTCGGGTCTCATATGTGGTTGGAGCGAGATATTCAACATCTCTTGCAATAACTCTCGCATGTGTTGGTTGGTCATCATCCACATCTTCGTCTGAATCTTCTTCAAATTCGATGTACTCATCTTCCACAATCATATTGTGCAAAATTATGCACGTCATCATGATTGAATGGAGGTCTTTGGGTTGCCAAAATCGTGCAGGCCCTCTAACAATGGCCCATCGAGCTTGTAAGATCCCAAATGCTCTCTCCACATCCTTCCTGTAAGACTCTTGCCTCTGCAAAAATAATTTCTTCTTTGCACTATCGGGATGAGAAACTTTTGACAAAGGTAGACCAACTAGGATAAATACCATCAGTTAGGTAGTAACCTAGCTCATACATATTACCATTTACCTTGTATCGAAATTCTGGTGCCCATCCATTCACAACCTCATCGAACAGAGGAGAAGACCAAAGAACGTTGATAACGTTGTTTGATCCGGGAGAGCCGAAGAATGCATGCCAAATCCATGTGTCGTAAGATGCCACAGCCTCCAGCACGATGGTTGGCTTGTTATGACGACCCTTGAATTGGCCAGCCCAACCAGTAGGACAATTCTTCCACTCCCAATGCATACAATCGAGACTTCCTATCATGCCCGGGAAGCTTTTTTTGTCTGCCTTGCGTAGAAGCCTTTTCAAGTCTTCATGAGTTGGCTTGCGGAGGTATGTGGCTCCATAGATGGCTTGAATTGCTTGACAGAAGCGCTTCAGGTTCTCAATAGCAGTACTCTCCGCAAGTTGGCAATATTCGTTAGTTAAGTCAGCAGAGCACCCATTAGCTAGCATTCGAAATGCAGATGTGACTTTTGATGAGGTGATAAACTTTGTCGGCCTACGACATCTATCTTCCTTGTAAAGTAGTGGTCATGATTGACAACTGCGTTCAAGATGCCTTCAAAAAGTTCTCTCATCATCCGAAACCGCCTTCGAAAATCATGAGCAGGAAATCTCGGCCTCTCAATGAAATAATCTTTCATCATTTGGTCATGACACTCTTCTCTATCACGCTGCAAGAATGAATGTCCCGTGGCAGAACCACGATGGCTAGATTCGCCATGGTGCTCATATTGCATAAACGAGTTTACAAGTTCAGCTTCGGCGTTGATCAGTTCTAAATCCTTAATGTCAAGCCTTGCTTGGTATTGTGCCATCTCCATTGCCCTGCTATGCCTGCTTCTATCACCCATTGATGAGATATTGAGAATTTTTAGGAAACAAAAACTCTTTGAAAGTTGAAAGATTGGTGAATATAGAGGATGATTGAAGGTTGAAAGATTGTGTGATCAACTAATATTGGACCTGTGTTTATATTGAGGATGATTGATGAACGGTTGGTGAAAGTTGAAAATTTTGTGTTGAACGGTTGGTGAAAGTTGAAAGTTTGGAGTTGAACGGTTGGTGAAAGATGAACGGTTGGTGAAAGTTTAAAGGTTGGTGAAAGTAGCTTGCTTTGTGAAAAATTTAACGATTTTTCAATATTTATCGGAATTTAAATTTTTTTAGATTAAAATGTTCATAAAATTAATTTACAATAATCTACATATTTATTTATTTTTTTTAAAATTGATTTAAGAAAAAAATAGCCTAAGTTCATTCTTTAATAATTCCGAGGTAAAATTTTAGGCCAGAAGGGTTGGAGCAGAAAAGATGTTTCTGGGCTAAAAGCCAAATTTTCCGGGCTAAAAAATTTGGCTTTTAGCCCAAGGGTTGGAGATGGTCTTATAGAGAGCCAAAAGAAAGCTACAATAGATTGTAGGATAACTACACAAACACAATCCCTAAAATCTGCCCTAACAAGTGGAAAAGCAAAAAACCAAATTACAAGTAAAGAAGCTTTTACAAGCTACTAAGAAAGGTTAATGTAAGGTGAATGACAAGCTATAAAAGTGACTTTAGCCTATGACTTAACTAAAGTGAGAATGACAACTCATACATACAACCCATCCATACAAACCGGTTTCAATAACTTACCATTGCGGAGTAACCATGAGAGAGAGCAATGCTGGAAACACGAACATTTTTGTGAACAATTGGTTCATCAACACACTCCTCATGGAGATAGCGTAAGCTTCCGCCTATTTCTAGAGCGATAGACCACCTTGCTCCCCACTCCAATTTCTCGGCCAACCCATCACCTACAAACTGATAGAGCTCAGTTTGAATATGCTATTCTATGCAAGAACTGTTGGAAATTCAAATAAAAACAGGTTGTAAATGGTTGCTACTAACTGTTAGTTGCTTTACAGGTTGTATTCACATTTTCGGCAACTACAAACATGCTTGCTGCCATGTGATGACCAAAAGGTGGTGATTACAAGCTGGAAGGATGCAAAGCATGTGTGTGAAAGTGTCTAGCAGCTGGTGCATATATGAAAGGGTGTAAAGATGGTGAACACCATCATTCATTGCATGTTGTTGTATTGTTGCTAGGCTTTAGAATATCATTCCAATTCCAATTCCCATTCCATTTCAACAATTGAGTTTGGAAACTCTTTGAAATATATCAAAGTGCATTGTTTGCCGAAGCTTGTTGCTTCCCTCCTTTCTTTTTTCTTTTTGTCCAATTTTATTGAGAGTGCAAAGTGAGGGGTGTGATAGAATTTGTAAACTTATCACCCACATATTTTGGTATTGAGTTAGTAAACTTTGAATACCAACAAGAACAAAACTGAAAACAATGTAGTCTGTTTTGGAAGCCTAAAAAAAAGAAGACTTATTTTTAGCTATGCTATCTGGAACTCAAGTTTAATCTCACTTTACTCCCTGCAACTCAAAAGTCATCACTTTACTCCCTGAAACTCAAGTTGGCTTCACTTTGCCCCCTGAAACTCGATTTTAATCCTATTTTGCCCCCTGAAACTTAAAAGCCATCTCTATAAAACTCAAAATTCGCTGCACATTACCTTAGATCTATTAATTTCTTATGGAGTTTGATTTGGGTGTGCCAGGCTAATCAATTTCTTCTTTGATTTTTTCATCTCTTCAATTTCTTTTAAACTTAATATTATCTGATTGTTGAATGTTAATGCATAATGGAGATTTATAATCAAATTTATTGCATATGTGACATTGTCTTGTTAGGTGTTGGGTCCCACATATGTTTTAGGAGTCGACCAATAAGTTTATGAGAGAAGAGAGAGATTCCACAAATCAAAGTAGAACGAATTTTGAGTTTCATGGAGTAAAGTGCGTGACTTTTGAGTTACAGGATGCAAATTGAGATCAAAATGAAGTTCCAGGGGGCATAACTAAAAATGAGCCAAAAAAGAATAGGACACCAAGCGGCTCATGATAATAGAAGGGATTTCTATTTACCAATCAACTATTTTAAGATGAATAATCGGTAAGGAATACATGTGTGCACGTGCGAGTGTGTTTTTGAGTTCATTGACTACTAAAGTTCTAAACCAAGACTTTCGAAAACTAGGATGCATCAGTTAGAGAAGTAGTCGTTCTTACATTGCAAATTCATTTCAACGGTACCCAAACAAGGGAAGTTGAAAAGCAAGAACGCAGAAACGCCTGTGCTGCAGTACCCAACAAGGTTCAAGATGTTGCGGTGGCGCACCCGGGAAAGGATCTCTGGGATTGACCGGAAACCTTTGTTTGTTATCTGTACAGACTTCACTAAAACAGGTGTATCTTGTAATATTCCCTGATGAATTGCTATGCCATCCACAACTGCTTTAATGTTATCATCAGCAAAGCCGTTCATTAATTATCACTTCCAATTCGGTGTAAGAAAACACTCGAGGAAAACCACTTCTCCAAGACAGAGGATAGAAACAAGGATTGTGAGGATATGGCGCGGGTGCACATTTATTTCTTAACTCGTAAGCACTGAAACCTTTACTATTCTCTTCCCCAGGATGCTCTTCAGGAGTTACTGAATCATTCGATAGCATCAAGCTAGCATAACCTTTTTCCTTTACTACTGCAATATTGCACGTTGCATGTCCTCGTAGATAAACTTTCGATTTCTTAAAGTGACTTACAACCGAACAAAAAAATTTAGAAGAAAAATAGAGGTAGAAGAGAAGAACACCGGGGTACTATATATGAGTGAGCCTATGGCATACCTGTCTAATATGATCTAACGTGTAATAAGGTTCTGTGATTCCTTGATTGCCAGTCTGGCTGGACAAAACCCGGCTGCAAGTTTAAGCACCAAACTCACCTGTATATATACAGTACATCCTAGTTTTTTAGCATTGTATTAATAACATATTCGTAACATATGCAAAAACTGACATGTAAAAAGGTAAATAAGAAGAAAAAACAGCAACCTCATTCTTTGAGCACTGACGATATAAAGGCTGGAGGATACTCCGGTATTCTTCTCTTTTTCGCTCAAATTCTTCTTCAAGCTCGAGAGGATCCACTTCTTCGTGATCAACGAATTCTAAGGCCTCATCTGCAGAACATACGCTGGTAAATATTAGGATATATATAGTATTAATAAGCAAAGAAACCAACAGATATTTAAGATGTACATACGTAGCACTGTAGCAGAACTGGGGGTAGCCAAGTTTTGAATTCCCCTCACCGTAACTTTGATTAAATTAATTAAAATATCGCCCGGAAAATAAAAACTTACATATTCCAGAGATGGCGCCAAGACCCATGAGCAACTTAACCGGAAAGCAAGAGTTCTTCTTGGCAGGGTGATCAGTGAAAACTCCTAAAATAAGTAAGACGTCACCAGGTTTAACGACATACTTGAGAGCCCATTCGACGGCTTCCACGCTTCCTGTATGTTGTGCTAGGATAGCACCAAACCAATTGGAACCAACTCAAGCTAACCCACAGGAAATATATCAAATGGAATGCAAGAACAAAATATTAAAGACACCAAGATTTTAAATAGGTTCCTCAACAGTCAATGTAACTGGAGTACGTCCTCGGAACAGTAAGAGCTCACCCAATAATCCACTATCAACCAAATGGGAGTTTACAAAGTGTTGGCAAGCTCACAACCCAAAACCCCAATACAACCAATAGCTCTCACACGCCAAAGAAACAAATAGAGAGAAATATAATGAATAATTTCTTCTCTATACGAAGCTCAAAGCTAATATACAAATCCAACTTTGATTGAGTGAGAACTAACCAAAAAAGAAAATCACCTTTCTTTCTTATATGGGAGCTGCGTACCTCTCTTTTTCTTTCTGCTGCTCCCTTCAGTTTTCTTCTACTTCGGCTGCCTTTCTTCTTCTGCTACTTTTCCCAAATGGCAACTGCTGCCTTAATTAAAACCTAGCCACTATCCCGTGGCTTTCACAAAGGGCCAAATAAAAAGTACTTTAGACAAGGCGCCTTATTTTTCTTCCCAAAACAAGGAAGGGACATAGTGATGTTGTCCAACTTTTTTTTCTTTTATTTAATCAAAAGTTGGCCACTTGGCCACTAATTCAACAATCTCCACCTTGGCCAAGTTCCGAAAACGCCATGATAAGCCAACCAACACAATCAACACAAAAATTACTCTCAAACACTAGCAAGAGAACAACTCATGCTGAGCCAAATGCTCCAAAACTCCTACTGCTCAACGCCTTCTTTATATAGGCAAAATGTGAGCCAAGTTTAAACAATGAACAAACTTGGCTACACCAACAACCTTAGTCAACATATCAGCGGGGTTGTCTTTAGTTGGAATCTTTTGGAGAATGATCTCTCATTCACCAACGACTTCACGCACAAAGTGATATCGCACATTTATGTGCTTGGTCATCGCATGATGAACCTGATACTTAGCCAAATAAATGGCACTCTGACTATTGCAATGTACCTCCACCTGTTTCTGATCAACTCCCAAATCTCTAATCAACCCATGTATCCAAATGGCCTCCTTTATAACTTTAGCAACTACCGTATATTCAGCCTCTGTAGTGGACAAGGCAACATACGACTGCAAAATGGACCTCCAACAAACTGGCCCTTTAGCCATAGTAAACACATAGCCTGTAGTAGACTTCCTTCCATCCATATCACCTGCATAATCTGAATCAACATAACCAACTGCAAAATGACCAATACCAGAGTTGTTGATGCACAAAATCAGTGAGAACTTTGGGCAACAGAAAGTGTCAGGTTTGTGACCTTCGCTTGGTTGCTTCGGTCACTAGTGAAGATAAGTATGTAAATGAATAGAGACAGAGAAGCAAACACAAGATGTACGTGGTTCATC